TTCTAGGATCTCATCCTCGCCTGGCGCACTCTTGAAGAACGAGGAATTTCTAGTGACCTGTACGCCGTCGCTATTTCTCGCTGTCACCATTGATCCTTTCTTCTCAACGATAATGTGAGGATCATGGCGGAAGGGAGTGTCACGCTTCCTCTTAGAGTCGTCTCGCTTAACGAACACGGAGTCTCCCTCGCGTAGAGTTGACGGCTTGATATAGCTCTTGCCATCAGCATATTCCTTCATCTTGGCCTTCGCCTTGCTGTCATGATCCTTGATTACTGGGTCAGGACGGGTGCTCGTCATCTCTGGTAGCTTGGTCTTAAGGGCTCGTCCGAACAGTGCGGTCGCTGGAGGAACTCTGGTTGTTGAGTGTGGGGTAGCACGATAATTTCTGAGGAATCGGTGCATTTCCTGCTTCCAATTCTTGCTTTCGACTGTTGCGGTCTTGATGACTTTCTTTACCGTGCGCACAAATCTTTCTACTTCTCCATTGGCTCGGGCCATCTTGGGGTTATCTTCCGATGCTTGAAGCCAAGATCTCGTGCGAACAACTGAAAGTCCGAACTGTTGAATGGCGGACCATTGTCTGTCTTAACCACATCAGGTATTCCGAATTCAGAGAAAATCTTGTCTAGATGTGGGATCACTGTGCTGGCGGATGTTGACTTGACTATGTCTACTACCGGGTACCGAGAGTAATCGTCCACTAGTATCAGGAGATACTCCTTGCCAGGCAGTTCAGCAAAGTCCACGCTGACTTCTTTCCAAGGGGAATCAGGTAGCGGAGACATTTGCAGGGGTTCTCGCTTTGGTTCTGGTGTACTTATTAGACACGCACTGCATGACTTCACCAGCTTTTCGACCATCTTGTCGATGCCTGGAAACCAGACTTTCTCACGAAGTAGGGCTTTGGTCTTTACCAACCCTTGATGACCTTCATGTGCTAGCTTTACAACGTGCTCCTGCATCACCTTCGGGATGACTATTCGCGTTCCACGCAGAATAATGTTACTTGTTGAGCAGACTGTAAGCTCGTCCTTCACCTTTGTTAGCAAGTGATATGTCGACGCGTCAACATCCGGTCGACTCGCCGTTTCATGCCAGTTTCCTCTTTGTACTGCCTCAGACACTGCTTGTAGTGTGGGGTCGTTAACTGTTGCTGCTTCAATGTCAGAGAGCTTGAGTGCCTTGGGTGTTGAGGTAGTCGCGATGTAGCTGACATATTCCTCTGCAATCTTCTGCTGTCGACTTGCTGTAATCGATTGTTTGGAGGGGTGTCGTGACATGTAGTCTGCAGGGTTTCCGTCTCCCTTTCTGTACACCACGGTAAGCTGGTACGGCTGCAGTCTAAGGGCCCATCTCTCGATTCGTGCCGGCGGCTTGGAGCTTGGGTTACCGTATATGGACACGAGGGGTTTGTGGTCGGTGTAGACTGTCACCGGCTTCCCGTAAACGTACAGATGTAGGTGTTCACACGCCCACACGACAGCGAGAGCTTCACGCTCTGTTTGGCTGTAGCGCTGTTCGGTTTCGGTCAAGGAACGACTTGCATAGGTGACGACGTGCCGATCACCAGTCTCAGTGTCGACTTGGGTGAGTATGGCTGCTAGGCCAACTGGGCTTGCGTCCACTGAGATCTCTGTATCCTTCTCTGGATCAAAGTAAGCGGTGACAGGTGCACACACGAGTGCATCCTTCAGCTGGGCAACTGCACGGTCGTGTTCGGCTGTCCATTCCCATGGCTGGTCCTTGTGGGTTAACTTGCGCAGTGGTTCGGTCTTGGTGGCGTAGTCTTGGATGAACCTCGAGCAGTAGTTCGTCATTCCTAGCAAGCTGCGCACTTCTGACGGATTGGTAGGAGGTTGAAGGTTGGTGATGTCTTCGATCTTCTTCGGGTCTGGAGAAATGCCGTCTTTAGAAAACACGTAGCCGAAGAACTCGAGCTTGTCTTTGCTGTACTCACACTTGTCCTTGTTTAGGGTCAGCCCTTTTTCTTTCAACCTCTGGAACACGGCCCTGAGACTTTGATTGTGCTCTTCGTGATCCTTGCCAAAGACTAAGATGTCGTCGCTGATGTTGAGCGCTCCATCGATACCTTCAAGCGTTTTCACGGATTACGTTCTGGAAAATCTCTGCAGCGCTAGATATTCCAAAATTCAATCGCTTGTAGCGCATTAGGCCCATGTGTGTGTTAAACGTGGTGATGTACCTTGACTCTGGCGCCAATTCTACCTGGTTGTACCCCTGGTTGAGATCGAGCTTACTAAACACTGTCGCACCGTTCAGGTCTCCGATGATCTCCTTAATCGTAGGTGTTGCGTGACGCTCGCGCTTGATTGCTTGGTTAGCCCGACGCATGTCGACGCATACTCTTATCTTTCCAGGTGACTTGGGTTTAGGGGCAACAACTATGGGTGACACCCATGGGGTAGGACCCTCGATTCGTTCGATGACGCCTAACTCTTCGTCCCGTTTGAGCTGTTCTTCCAGCTGCTTGCGCACGTGGAACGGGACTCTTCTGTGTGGCTGCGCGACTGGCGGTATGGATTCGTCGATGTGGAGTTTTATCTGGTAGTCCTGAAGTTTGCCAAGGGGACTACATTGGCGACGAGGATCTAAAACCTACACGATGGCAACTGCTCTGCCGACATTCGCGGAGTTTGATGTCACTGCTGACCATGGTACGCTTGGATTGCGCTGGAAAAAATGGCTAGCAAGATTCAGAAATCTACTCCTGGCTATCGGTGTAACTGACAAACCAAGACAAGAGCTCTTCTGTTACACTACGCTGGAGAGGGAGTAAATGAAATCTTCGACACGCTACCGCCACACAAGCCGGAGAAGACGAGAATCCGTTCGAAAAGGCAGTCGAAGCACTAACCAGCCACTTCACACCGAAGAAAAACAGCGAATACGAAATATATGTGTTCCGCCAAGCCAAGCAGGAGGTTAATGAAGGTATTTCTGCATATCACACACGCCTTAGGCAGTTATCAGTCACCTGCGAGTTTGCGAACACTGACAGAGAGATAAAGACGCAGATCGTGCAAAATTGTACATCACACAAGCTTCGCACAAAGGCACTAGAACGTTCAGAACTTACCTTAACCCAGCTCCTAGACATCGGGAAGGCCATGGAACTATCCAAATCACAGGCAGCTAGCATCGAGGACAAGCATGATGTAAATAAAACTGTCTCGAAATTCTGGTAATACAAGCCAAAATAATCGATTTCGTGGCCGTGTGAGCCAAAATCAAGATGGCGCCCAATCAAGCCACAGGTCACGCGCCCGGAAGTCACCCGCGCCAGTACCAGACCGGAAGTCTAACAACAAATGCGGACTTTGCGGGGGAAATTACCCCCACGCAGGCGGGAAAACGTCGTGCCCGGCCTATCGGAAAATCTGTGATAACTGTGGCAAGTCTAACCATTTCAAAGCTGTCTGCAGGTCGAAAAGCAAAGCTGACGAGGAGCGAAAGCCACGGGTAAATGCAGTTAATGACGACGGGTCAAGCTCAGACGATGATGTGTACCTGTTCTCAGTAAACAGCAGTAAGCAACGTGAGAAACCGATGTTTCAAGTCAAAGTGCACGAAACAAATCTCACATTCATGGCTGACTCCGGTGCGACCATCAATGTCTTAGATGAGGCCGACTACCACAGGCTACCCAACGCTCCCAAACTAAAGACTAGTAACATACGGATTTACGCGTACCAGTCCAGCAAACCACTACATGTCCTCGGAAAATTCAGCACAACCATCGAATCCGAGTCGAAAGTCGTCAAAGACAAGCTCTACGTGGTTAAAGGATCAGGAGGCTCACTCCTCAGCTGGAAAACGTCTCAGGAGCTCAACCTCCCCCAGATCGTGCAACAGGTGAAAGAGACCAAACCACAGGAGCCAGATCAGCTGATCAGCGAGTATAGTGAGCTATTCAACGGACTTGGCTCCTGTGGTTTGGTCTCTTTCACCTGTTGCACGATTTGGAGGAGGTTGAGCTCCTGAGACGTTCTTCTCTCTCAGCCTCTGGGTTCAAAACCTCTGGGATCTCTTCGCATTCTTCCTCACTCTCTTCTAGGATCTCATCCTCGTCGCCAATGTAGTGATTCTTTAACTGATACTTTTAATCGATCAAAACGAGAGACTTAGATATTACACATCTGCTCTCTGGTCTCGTTCGTATCCGACCTCCTGAGCACGCTTACATCCGGGCTTTTCCCGATACGATCTAGTCCAAATATGGTAACAACATTACAATAATCAATGCTACTTCAGTACGCAAAGTAGGCCTTAAGGATTTATCATATGTTTTATCCCATATTTTGTCCCAAGTTAAATAAAATATAAAATATTGAACTATCTGCTCTCAAAATATCAAATTAAAAAACAACAAACACAGTCATTCGGTCTTGCAGTAGAAGTGAAGCCACATACATGGCTGTATCTATCTAAACCAATACTTGTTCTTATAGTATACTCAACAAAATATGCAGCTTCTAATTGGTCAATGACGAGTGCATAAATAGGTTATAGAGTGCAATACGGAATTGTGATAAACGTTACCGGACAATTAGAGACATTTTTGCCGCTTAATGGCATTGAAATAAGCTTTCAAGTTAATGGTTAAATGTTTTCTAAACTATAGTACTGTAATTCTTTCAAAAAGTTCACGCTTAGTTGCCTGCGCGTTCAAATAAAACATGTGAGAACTTTGACTTTGGAAACTAGTGAAGCGTTTCGTGTGCAGAGTAGCGAGATGGCCGCAGCAAAATTTTGTTGAGAATATTATAAACAAAAAAAAATCGTATGAACTGCTCGTGCAATTCGTGATTTATGGTCACTCGTGATGTTTTGAAAGTTCTCAAATTGCACTCGCCTAAAGGCTCGTGCAATTTTGAGAACTTTCAAAACATCACTCGTGCCCATAAATCACGAATTGCACGAGCAGTTCATACGATTTTCTATACTTATTGTTTGCAAGATGTCAGACTTCACTAACCAATACCGTAGCTCAGTGGTTAGAGCATCCGACCGGTGTACGGAAGGTCATGGGTTCGATTCCCGTCGGGGACTCAGATTGTTTTCTTTGTCCCACGCTCGTGACAAACTGGATACAGTTACTTACTACAGTACGACCGAGCTTAACATTTACCATCTTTACATTATTACTAAACCAATACTCTTTCTGATTCACAACAGTTTCGTTTCTAGCTAAAGCCATTGCCCGTTCCGAAGTTCAAAAAGGGACTGGGCACTAGTTTACCTATTGTTCAAATTACGTCATATTAAAAAAATTAATCCCATCGCCAGAAAGATCGCATGAAAATGAGTAAGTTCACCAAGTTTGGTTATGTTACATTACATAGTAACCAGGCTGTAAGCTGTCAAACGTCGCCCAAATTCCATACAAACGTCTCTAATTCAGAGATGGCGTCCCCAAATCCATACAAAGTCTATAATTTTTCTGACTTTTGAAAGCCTTCTACATGGTTGCAATCTAACGAAACAACCTCAAACTTGGTAAACTGACTAATTTTAATGTGATCTTTCTTGTGACGGGCTCCAATTTTTAATTAAATTTAAATTTAAAAACTCGTCCCCAGTCTCCATTTGAACTTCGGAACGGGCAATTCAGTAACGTATTGCAGCATGTTACTTTATTTTCAAAGCTGGGACATTTTTCTCAGTGACTTCGCCACTTCCTATATTTGTTAGTTTCTTTTTTATTATTATTGTATATTCCTTCATTTGTGTATATTGCCTTTCTTCTAGCGTCAAACGCCGGAAGTGAACTGTTTATGAGCACAAATGAGTTTCCCGATAAGAAGACCATGATTAATTATGTAGATGGTGGATTTCCTACTGGCGAATATGAGTATGACAGGTAACGGATCAGTTGTGATCAGCTGCAGCTATCGCCCTGGGCCAAACTAATAAACTAAATTGGAAAAAAGTTGAACTTTTTTAATACAAATTATTTATTGTCAAAAATACGAGGTTGAAACTAACACTAATTACAAAATTGACACTAACAGAAATTATAAAACTGACACAAACTCTAGTTACAAAGTTTCAGATAGCACTAATTATATAATTATCACTAATTACAACACTAATTACAAAATTTCCCAAGCACTAGTTGTAAAGCTGTCGCTAACGATAACGTAGAGGAGCTTTTATCATAGCTATAATTATTAAGCTTATTAATTACTTACTCGCAATTTAAGATGACAGGCATTTTACTTTTAGTTTAGTCCAAGTTTAGTTTGAGTTTTCAATGAACAACCGGAATAGTCAATATGGCAGTCAACGCCACCTGGTTAGCTCAGTTGATAGGGCGCCAGACTGCAAGTTAAATGATTGATGGAGTGAGGATTGAGTGGTCGAATTATTGATTGATTGATTGATTGAATGATTGATTGATTGATTGATTGATTGATTGTATGATTGATTGATTGATTGGTTGATTGATGATTGACTAAATGATTGATTGATTGAATGAATGAATGATTGAATGAATGAATGAATGAATGAATGATTGCTTGATTGATTGATTGATTGATTTAATGATTGATTGATTGATTGATTTATTGTATGATTGATTGATTGAATGATTGATTGATTGATTGATGATGATTGATTGATTAAATGATTGATTGATTGATTGATTGTATGATTGTATGATTGTATGATTGTATGATTGTATGATTGTATGATTGTCTTTATCCGTAGGTACACAATCAAAGATCTCTACCAATTCATCTAATCAAAGGTAAGTATTACTACATGGAGGCTATATACAAGGACGATCACCAGCCAGATCATCTGGAAGCTGCTTTACAGACACCAGAAGGAAAATTTTACAAAGTGATACCCTCGATGTTCCTATGGACATCACTACGCGTAACAAACGGTATGTATCTGTATAATAATAATAATAATAAACAGGTTCTTAAAAACGCATTTCACATCACAACGAGGTCTGAATGCTTTTTACAGTCTTGTATACAATCCTAAAACCCTTTTTTATTACACGACTAATACAGTTGAGCGGGCCGATAACTAAAATCAGCTAATCAGGATGCTGTATTACCGGTCCGTTATTTTCGACTGTATTATTTATGAAATATTGAAGATAATGTTATTCAGACCTTTCTATGTTGTTCGTAATTTAATGCTAATGTTCGCATATTGCCTGCGCTTTATTTCTAGCCCAAAATGCTACTTACCAAGCTATTTTACTCAGAGCAGCTGCACGGGCCGGTGCAGCAGCTGGTTCATCATTTGGAGCAAGGTGGGCGATAAAAAGTGGCGCAAAAGCAGGAGCAAAGGCCGGTACCATGGCAGGAACAGAAGCTGGAGCCTCGGCAGGAGAACATGCTGGTGTAAAAGCTGCTATAAAAACCATTACAAAAAATCTGGAAGATGCACTGAATAGTCTTCATGGTGATAACTTGCACAAGTTTAAGATTATTCTTAAAAATGGAAGCGTGGTTGACGTTACTGGTCCTGGAATGGGAGGAGCTGGTGAAAGTCCTGCAGGTGTTGGGGGTGGAGGAGCTGGAGCGGGAGCTGGAGCTGGAGCTGAAGGAGGTGCTGGTGGTGGTGCAGGGGGAGGTGTAGGGGAGTGCAGGGGAGGTGCAGGTGGAGGTGCAGGGGGAGGTGTAGGAGGAGGTGCAGGAGGAGGTGCAGGGGGAGGTGTAGGAGGAGGTGCAGGAGGAGGTGCCAGTGGAGCTGTAGGAGGAGGTGCCGGTGGGGCTGCAGGAGGTGGAGGCGGCGGAGGTGCGGGAGGTGGAGGCGGGGGTGGAGTGGCTGCAGGAGCAAGTGCAGGTGCAGCTGCAAGTGGTAGTATGGCTGGTGGTGGTGGTGGTGGTATGGCTGTGGTGGTGTGTTGGTGGAGGTGTAGGTGGAGGTGTTACAGCTGGTGGGACATCATCTGGGGTAATCACTGGGGCGGCAGGGGGTGCCGGTGGCACTGTTGGTGGTGGCGCCGTTATTTCAATAGGAGGAGGTTATACGATACGACGTAAAGTCACGTTCATTCCAAATCCAGGAGATGATCCACAAGCCGTTGCTCGGGCATTAGTTTGGAGGGTAGGAGGCGCAAGTAAACGTAAGTTAGCATCAATTATTTCTTTGAAATTTGTGATTGTTTCTACAGAACCTCGAGAACAAAGTCAAAATGTCCAGTATTATCGGCGAATGCTCGCCTAAAAATAATTTTGTTATGGGAAAATGGTCAGGATAGCAGTAAACAAGTCGCGAGTTTGAGAAAAATGACGACGGTTTTTTCAAAATTTGTAAAACATGTTTCGATGTAGCTCACAGCATCTTCAGTTACAACAAGTTTGAAAAAACTGTTTGAATTTATACCAACCTAGTCTGAAGTGTCAGCCGTCTCCTCGCTCTAACCCCTAAGCATGCATAAACAGGTGATGCGATAGACATTGGCAAGATGTTTAGCTACCCACGAACGTAACTAATGTACCTTTGTGAAAGGACACGCTTTACGGACACCGAATTTAATTGGCTTTCTCTGTTTTTGGCGAGGGCCTATGGCTGAAAGTTGCCCCGCGAAATGTTTTGTTCTAAAAACAAATCAGTTAGGCTTATATGCCAGTTGTTTAGAACATAAAATTTCCAAGGGAATTATTTTCTCATAGAAACTGGAGCTTGTAGTCTAGTAGTTTAATTTGGAAATATGCAATAATCTTGGAATGTTTTTCATCCTTAGTTGTAAGCAACGGATTATACACTGTCCATTCCTACAACACCCGTACTCACAAGAGAACAGCACCCTTAATTACTGCTGGCGAGCACACAATGGTGCCTTAGGTTTGGGGACTTTTTGCCAAGTCTTTAAAGCTCGTATTCCCGGACTTTACATGCAAACCGAAGACAGGAATCGTACAGTGTCATTTGAGTCGGTCTGTTTACCAGGATACTACATTAGACAGAAAAATTACAAATTCATTCTTGAGAAAAGGGATGGATCAAACCTTAATCTTTTCGGTGAGAAATCTGGATTTTTTATTTTGCATTCGACTTATGGTCATCTTGCTCAGTATACACGGACATAGCAACTTATATATTAAGTCCTGGTCAATTTTATAGACAATTGTAAGCAACTCCCACTATAAATTCACGTTATTCGTATGGATATCAAATCGTGGTCTCAGTTAAAATGTGACTGCACGTGGATTTTCACCAGCCTATGCGTGGTTATTCATTCTAGTCCCCACATCCCTCCGAGCAGCGGGGCCTAGACACTCTCCCCGCGGCACCAGCTAAGAGACTCGGAGGGCTGCGGGGACGAGAATAGTGGTTACTTTCCTTTGTGCAAACAGTTTGTTCACTAATCGAGGTCAGGTTACCAAACTAAATCATCTTAGGTGAAAATCTAACGGCCGATTTAGACGGTACATGTCACATACGACTTTTGTAACCGGCGCGCTGCTCGCGTCATGCAAAAGTCGTACACAACTCCATCATTTAATATTGTCTGTGGCTACGATTTGTCGTAGTGTTTCAAACGACAGTTTTCGTGTCGTACACGATAATCGTGAGCCAGTCGTGTGTTTTACACGACAAAATTCGTGTCGTAGGCTTGTCCTGAGTATGTGGCATGTACCAACGTTGGACTACGCCGTGAAAACATGGTCTTTGTTATATTTGTTTTATCTCATCCCATCTGAAATGATGTCTTCCATCACTATATAAGCTTTATCACAATAAACTTTATTCTACAGATAAAGAAAGCTCTTTCACCGTGTACTCTGTGATGAGATTCACTCGGAATTTTCTATTACAATCCATGCACGTGGACTGGTATATTTGCCAGAGCAAGATGAAAAATCTTCACACCACCACTGATGTAATGCTGGATTTTTACAATGGCGAGCCGGATGTCCTTCAACGCTGCACGTTCTTATTTCATCCGATAGCTCAGACCGAAAATAAATTAAGGATGTGCAAGAACGTGGTAGGACCAGTGAAGAATCCCATTATAAGTGGGCAACCTCTTCCACATCCTCCTCATTTGGTTTCACCAGCACCACAACCATACCCTGCCCTGCCCTC